TTTGTAGCTTGACTGTATCAGTGTCAATATCCTGGTTGTGATACTGCTTTTGCAAGATGTTAGCAATGGGGGAAACAGAAGAGTTCGAGGGATCTCTCTGTATTGTTTCTTACAACTGCATGTGAACCTACAATTATCTCAAAATGTAAAGTTTAATTGGGAAAAAAAAAAAAGCATTCATAGCGTGCCAGCAGCATAAAAACAGGCAATGGACAGGATCTGAACCACTGGCCAACATCTGCCGATCCCTTTCCTGGTCCTTTTGTTGGTTATATTGTTGCAAATATCTTCTCCTTGGTTTTGGCTTGAATTTATCTTCCCTTATATTATCTAAAAGAAGAGAAAGTCTTAATGTTAAGTCATCCATCTATTCTTCTTCAGTTAACTCTTCATACCTGAAGAAATCTTATTCTACTCTGGGGTCATAAAAATACTGTATATATTTTTTCTGTAAGTTTTAGTTTTGTATTTCACATTTCAGTTTCTAGTCTATCTAGAATTTATTTTTGTGCATGAGGTAAGGCAGGGACATAATTTCCCATTTTGCTACATGAATAAGCAATCATCCCAGCTTACCACCTGAAATGTCCATTCTTCCACCAGAGATCTCTAACTCTACCAGAATAATAAATAGGTTCTGCATTTACAGAACCTCTTTTGGGTTATCCTATTTTACTGGCCATACTGTCTATAACTAGGCCAACAGTCCCATGTCTTCTAGCAGGGTCAGGTAAGGCCTCCCATCTTCCTCTTCAAATGTCTTAAACATTTTTAGACTTTCAGTTTTCCATGTAATTTTTTAAAAAATCCTCACCCAAGACTATGTTTATTGGTTTCTTAGAGAGAGAGGAAGGGCACCCCAACTGGGGATTGAACCCACAGCCTATGTACGTGTTCTGACCAGGCAGAACCTGCAACTTTTTGGTGCATGGGGTGACACTCCAACCAACCAAGCCACCTGGTCAGGGCCCATGTAAATTTTAGAATCAGCCTACCCCATTCCTGAGAAAACCGTGGGAATTCTGACCAGAATTATACAGAATCAGTAGGTCAGCCGGGGAGAAATGACCCTTAGCTCTTATTGCATCTTCTTAGCAATGAACATAGCACTTTTCCTATTTAAGTCTTCCTTAAAAATTTTCAATAAAGTTCAATTATTTCCCCCAGATATGCCACACTTACCTTTCATTTAATTTATTCCTAGGTACCTTAATTTTTTTTAATTGCTCTTGTGATTGGTGTATTCTAAAAATAATTTTTTGTTGTTTATTCATGGCAAATACAAATGCAACTGATTTTGGTATATTTCATCTTATGAATCCAGCCATCTTGTTAAACTGTCATTTCTTTCTTTTTTAAAAGATTTTATTTATTTATTTTTAGAGAGAGGGGAAGGGTGAGAGAAAGAGGAAGAGAAACATCGATGTGTGAGATACATCTTGCCTCTCACATGCCCCCAGCTGGGGACCAGTCCTGCCACCCAGGCCTGTGCCCTGACTGGGAATCAAACTGGGGACCCTTCAGTTAGCAGGCCAGTGCTCAATCCACTGAGCTACAGCAGCCAGGGCTAAACTGTCATTTCTAATAATTTATATATTATTTAAGTTTGTCTACATAAAGAAACATCATCTGTAAATAATGACTTTTTTCTCCTGTTCCTAAATGTATGCCTTTAACTTTTTTTGTCTTACTGGACAAAACTAGAACCTCTAGTATATGCTGAACAGCACTGGTGCGGGGGGCATCCTTGTCTTGCTCTGATTTTTGAAGAGAATGCTTATAATGTTTCCCCATTAAAACACTGTTTTCTGCAGAGTTCTGGTAGCCTTTATCACATTAAGAATAACCTTCTATTTCTAGCTACTAAGAATCTTTATTTTTAAATCATAAGTGAGTGCTGAATTTTACTGAATGCTTTTGCTGTGTCTATTCAAGACGATCATATGGTTTTCATTCTTTAATCTGTTAATGTAGTGAAAGACATTTATAGCTTTTCTAATATTAAACTATGTATTTTGGGTAAAAAAAAAAACAAACAACCACACTTGTCATGATAAACTACCTTCCTCAGCCAATACAGACTTCATTTGGCCAATATTTTGTTTAGAAATGTTGCATGTGTGTTGATGAATAAAATCAGCTTGCAATTTTTCTTTCTTATGGTATCCTGCCTGGTTTGTTATCAAGGTTCCGCTGGCCTCATAGAATGAACAGGGGAATATCATTCTTACTTTACTCTTTGGAAGAATTTATGTAATATTGGGATTTTATGTTTCTTGAAAATATGGTAAAATTTGCCTATAAAAACAGTCTGGGCCTGATGTTTTCTTTGTGACATCATAAACTATGATTCAACTACTTTGTGATTATAGGACAATCAGCATTCTTATATTTGTTTTAAAAATGACGTACTTTAAGGAATATGTCAATTCTTCAAATTTTAAATTTATTTCCATTTTGTAGTTACCTCTTTCATTACAAGTAGTAATTTATTAGTTTTTCTCCCCTTCTTTCTTCATTAATCTTGCCAAAGATTTTTCTATTTCATTAATTTCTGTAAAGATTTTATTTATTTTTAAAGAGAGAGGAAGGGAGGGAGAAAAAGAGGGAGAGAAATGTCAATGTGAGAAAGAAACATCGATCAGTTACCTCCTGGATGCACCCTGACCAGGGACCGAACCCCTGACCCAGGCCCATGCCCAGACCGGGAAATGAACCAGCAGCAACCTTTGGCTTGGCGGGACAACATGCAACCAACTGAGCATGCCGGTCAGGGCATTAATCTCTTTAAAAATGAAATTCTGGCTTTGCTACTGTCTACTATTGGCTTTGTTTTTTATGCCCCCCCCCAGCATTATTAATATGTAACTGACATGAAACTATAGCTTTGTGTACAAATTTCACACTTAAAAAAAAACTTTGTTTTTCAAGTTTTGTTAACCTGTTCTCTCTTTGGGTTTATTTTTACTTTTAATCACTTCTTCAGTCAACTTTTAGCTCACTCGTCTTCAGCCTGTCTTCTTTGCTCCTCCTTTGCACACTCCGCACCATCCACTTCCCTCTGAGCGCTGCTTTCACTGTGTCCCACGGCTTCTGACAGGAAGTATTTTCCTTGCTGTTCAGTACTGAGTATTTTTATGTTTGTAACAATCTCTTCTTTGATCTATGTGTTGTTTGCTTTGGAACGTGTTTTTTAAATTTCCAAATGTATGGAGACTTGTGTTCCTTTGGTTACTTTTTTCTAATGTAAAAGTATTGGGAATGTTCCTGGGGAAACATATCCATCAGAAAAACAGAGCGAGCCCCAACACTCTCTTTTCTAGTAGCTGGTTCTGGCATGACAGAACTTACTCGCCGATCCCACACAACTGCAGAAGAGGACACGGTACATGAACTAACCATTTCTAGCCCAGATCACGATAGCGGGCAGCAGCGCCATCTTCCTGAGGAAAGCAAAGCACAGGAGGTGAGCGCCGGTTCACTGTGGCGTTTCCCCACCCACGGCAAAGGGAAACAGACCACCGCCACAGGGGTCAGTGGCGGCCTCTCCGGGCAGAAGACATACAGGTCAGAGTTTGGGTGACGGAAATTTGCAGGACAGGCTACCAGAGAGGAAGGAGCCACCGAAAAGTCCCAAAGCTCCAGGGGCCTCACCTGGGGTCCTTGGCTGAATCCTAACGGCCCATGTGCAGCGTAAGTTCTGAGGGGCCTTGGAAAGAAGAGCTGCTGCAGGCGTGAGGGAGGGAGAGGAGCTCCGAGGGGAACAGAAGATACCGGAGGTCCCGCCGCGCTGGGGAAACCGTGGGGCTCCCACCCAGCCGAGGGTAGAGACCTTGGTAAGTGTTCTGAGACGCTTGAAAGCCAACCCTGAGGAAAAGGATTCTGCCCAAGAACTAAGGCTCAAACTAACATATACCAATCCCAACAAAGAAAACCAACTTGAACAAGATCAAAAGACCAGCTAGTAATTTGGGTTTTTTTGCTAGAAAAAAAAAAATTAACACTACTTAGAGAACATAATAGAAAGGTTCTACGATGTAACATTCACAATATCCAACACTCAATAAAAATTGCTGTATTTGTAAAGAAGCCTTGACCCATAATCAAGGAGATAAATGTCAACAGAAGCAGAGCCACAAATGACTCAGTTGGTGAAATTAGCAGAAAATGATTTTATAACCATAAATATTTTTTAAAGAAATTTATTTATTTTTAGACAGAGAGTAAAGGAGGGAAAAGGAGAGGGAGAGAAACATCGATGTGTGAGAAAAACATCAATCAAGTGCTTCTCACACTCCCCTAACAAGGGACCTGGCCCGCAACCCAGGCATGTGCCCTGACTGGGAATCAAACCGGCGACCTTTCAGATTACAGGCCAGCGCTCAATCCACTGAGCCACTCCAGCCAGGGCACTATCATAAATATTTTAAGGAACCTAAAAGAAAAGAAAGATACTATGTGTGAAAAGATGGAAGATTTTAGTAGAGAAATGGGGAAAAAAGAACTAAATGGAACTTAAAAAATACACTACTTAAAATGGAAAATTCATTAGATGGGCTTAACAGCAGACTGAGCATAGGTGAAAAAACTAGAGAATTCCAAGGCAAGCCAGTTTGGAGGAGCAGGAAGGCTGTGACTGAACACATACCAAGACCAGTTAACAAGGTGGTAGGATTGTCTCCAGCAGCGGAGGACAGCTTTAAACCAGGCAGAGGGCTGGGTTCAGCTCGGAGTGGGTTTTTGCAAGATAAAACCTACAGAGTAAGGGGTTAAGAATGTTTCAACTAAGGTGGTAGTAACTATGGAATCTTAGAAGGGAAGTGAGGGAATAAAGAGAGCTGAATAATGAAGAAATGGTGGGGGCAGTGGTTTTACGATCCCAATGAGTCTAATCACTGACCTATGGTCTTTAGAGCCTTGCTACTTAAAATGTGCTCCCAGGACCTGGAGCTCCAGCACCTGGCACTTGTGCAAATTCTCAGGCCCAGGCCCCGCCCTACATGCACTCGATCTGCATCTTGCAAGTAGGCCTCAAGCTGCTGAACAAGCTCTTCGTTTGAGTCCATGCTGTCTAAGTTTGTGGACTGCACAAAAGAGGGGAGGGGCAGAGTGAGATGCTCGAAATGGACACTTGCGAGCAGAGCTGGCTGCCTCCAAGGTTAGTAAGTAGCAGAACCTGACAGTCTCCCTCCCAAAGAGCTAGGGTTTGGAGAGAAAGGAAGACAATGGCTTGGAACTAGCAAGGGGGCCACTTCCGACAACCTCATTGTGCTGATTCCAATCCACCTCTCTCAACTCGCATCTCCAGCCTCTCCAGCTGTGGCTGACCTTGTAGCTGCGGCCAAAACGTGTTCTCTCCTTCCTCGCTGACAGAAGCCCAAGCTGAGCAACAATGTGCCTATTTTAAAAACTACATTTTCCAGCCTCCTTTGCATGTAAGGCCAAGAGTTGTGTTTTTCTACCCTTTGCCTCTCCCCTTCTTCCTGCCCAGAATCCTGATAACATCATGCAGTTCCCATACAACCTTGGACTCCCTGCCTCCTGAATTCTTCTACAGGGAAAGAAAAGAAACAGCTAACATTTAAGTCACCATAGCATATTTTCTCATACATGCAGCCAAGTCAGTCTCTACCAGTTCAGGCTCTGAAGTGGATCCTTTGTGCCTGGTTCACCTCTAGCTACTGAGAGTGGGCCCACCTCACCTGAGGGAAACTCTGGGGGTTAGTTAGGAAACTTCCCTTCTCTGTCCACAAAGGCAGCCCTCACCATGCACTACTCCCACCATTAACTGTCTCCTTCATACCTCATATTTTAACATTATTTATCTTTGTGCCAAGAAGGACCAGACTTTGTTCACTTTTGTCTTAACCTTGCCACAGCAGCCAACAGGCTATGCAAGCAACAGATATTCCTTATTTGCTACATTAAAAGTAAAAATCTCAATTTCAATATCTGAAGTTGAAAAAGCCCTGACTAATTTGCCTAGCCACCTTTTTTGTCCTTGCCCAGAATACACAGCCTTACCTTTGTTTAAAAACTCCAACTTCCTGCCCTGGCTGGTGTGGTTCAGTGGATTGAGCGCCAGCCTGCAAACTGGAGGGTCACCAGTTTGATTCCCAGTCAGAGTACATGCCTGGGTTGCTGGCCAGGTCCCCGGGGGGTGGGGGGCATGAGAGACAACCACACACTGGTGCTTCTCTCCCTCTCTTTCTCCTTCCCTTCCCCTCTGTCCAAAAATAAATAAAATCTTTTTTAAAAAAATTCCAACTTTTCTGTACCCAACCTTGCCCATGACTGTTAAAGATCATAAAAGTTTCCTTGATTGCATCCAAGCCCTGTCTTCTCCTCAGTCAGACCAGACCAAAGGAGGATAAACAGTAGGCCAGGTCTGAACCCTCTGAAGAGGCAGCACGAAACCACCAGGGCATGGAGAGCCTAGAACTCGTAGCTGCAGCTCCCCAGGCCTCTCGGCCATGCCACTGGTTCTCTTAGGAGAGCTTTTGTTGGAATCCACAGACAGTTTTTGATTGTGGAAAAGCTTCCCATTCAGCTCCTGGATTGCAAGCGCCACTTTCTGCACAGAGCCCAGATCCACAAACACAAAGCTGTGAAGGAAGGAGACAGGGCAGCTCCGAGCACATCTCAGGACAGAGATGCAGGAGGTGCCACACCCCAATGCAGGTATTCTTCTCTCCCCTTCTGCAGCCACAGACGGTGGTAGTTCCAGACATACACACGTACAAGTCACTGAGGCCCACACTTGGGCTGGGCTGGGTGGCGGGGATTAGAAGATAGTGCATTGACTATCACTGAACACCACCTAGCTACATATAGCTTTGGGCTTCTTTCATACTATTCCCCCCAAAGTTCAAAGGGCTTTTACGGTCTTGAAAATAATGAAGGGAAAATAGGAGTAGGTCCAGTTTCTGGGGCAACCAAGGCTAAGGGAGGTACTTACCTCAAGTCACAAAACAGAGTAAGGATGTTACCAAAAAATAAACACAACACAGGGCTCTGGGTTTCTGAATCACGGCTGTGTGGACAAGACAATATTAGCTGCCAAGTCAGAGGGTTAAGTACAAAAAAAGAGCTTCCCAAATGTTACTTTGCCAAGACAAAGTGAGTATGGATTTTGGAGCTCAACAGCTAGCCTGCAGTGTCAGTGCATCGAAAAATGGACTGAAAGAAGTTGCCTCCCAAAGAAAACAAAGGAAGAACAGTCATTACCATTTGTAGCCACTGGGATTTTGCACATGGAGAGGGCTGAAGCCTTTCAGAAGGTACCAAATTTCCTCCTAGAGAAAAAGACCTGAGACAAGACTTACAAGTCATTCTCATCGTTTTAGATCCTCAAGCAGCTACTCTGTAATCAGCTGAACACATACTTAGTCAGAGTCTATTATGTGTTGTGTGTGCCTGGTTTTGTGCTAAGTGATGCAAATACAGAGACAAGAAAGTTATAAGCCCTGCCTTCAACTGAAGCTCAACAGGCCAGTGGGGCTACAGACAAGACAATCAAGTTAACAGGTCATTTCACCAAGGGTGATAAATTCCATGATAAGAAGGTACAGGCAGCTGTGAGGGCACACAGTCTGAGTATCTAATCCAGATGTGGAGGGAAGAGAAGCAGTCAGGGTGGGCTCCCAGGAGGAAGTGACTTTAAATTTATTAGGAATCTAGGCTATCTCGCTTTCATCCCTATCTGTGCAAGGTCGACTCAGTCTTCTCACAAAGAACAGCGGGTGGGCTCCCAGAACAAATAATCTAGGCTATCTCGCTTTCATCCCTATCTGTGCAAGGTCGACTCAGTCTTGTGCTCACAGAAACCTTCTGTCACTTCTCCCTTCATGCATTCAATAGACAGCCAGCAAACACGTGCTATGTGCAAGCCTTATGCTGAGAATTACAGTAGATACTGATTTGAACTCAACATAAGCCTTGCATTTATGGAGCATCTGGTTTAGCAGGAACACAGGTGATCTCCTGTCCTACCCACGGGGTGGAGTGAAGTCTGAGAGTAAGAGAGGCAGGGGAACGGGGCGTGGGTGGGGGCAGTCTCCGGTCGGCCTCCCACGGGCTGCTCCTACCCACCCCACTTTCCCTGCGGGTCTCCCCCGTTCACTCTTCTCACTGCAGCCTGGTCTCCACTGCTCTGGGCTAGGGGACCTTCCCCCTCCACCCCGACTCTCAACTCCGGGCCTGCCCTCAGGCTGCCTCCCTCCCCAGGGGTCCCCGGTCCCAGTCTTCCCCACTGGGCCAACTAGGGCCCCTCAGTCTCCAGGTTGTTTGAGCACCATCCCCTTTCTTTGAGCTACATGGTCACAGGACCCTGATGCCCTTTGGAACTACACCCTATTTTTTCTCTTTTCTGCCAAACCTGTAGAAAGAGCTGTCTCCGCCTAATGCCTCCATTTCCTCTCCGCCCACGCCCTCCCAACTGCCCCCGGTCTGGCTCCTGTCCCTGCTCTACTGAAGTGCTTTCTCGAAGGTCACAGCCGTGCTCCCGCTGCCCGCCTCGAAGCGCTTCCGCGGGCCTCCACTCCTGACCCCTTTCTGCGCCTCTCCACGCAGCCTCCGCCTGCTTCCGCACCAGCATGCTGCACTTGTAAACTCCACTGCTGTGATAAAAACCAATTTTTCCCTAGAAAATTCTATTTTGGAAAAAACGTGTGCCATTTATACAACCTTCTTTTAAAAGCCACTTTTACCAATCTAAAGTCACTTTGCTGGCTGAGGAAATTAGAAATGCATTATATGTAACTCATTTTTCTCAGTCTTCATGTTTATATTACATTTAAATTCAAATTTTCTAATTTGCTTTACTTTTAAATATTTAATGTTTATTACACATGAATCTACAAGATGCTGAGCAACAAGCAATTTGTGAATACAAGCAATATGTGCTTAGCATTTTCAGTTTATAAAGCACTTTCATCTACCTTAATCCATTTGATCTTTAAAACCATCCTGTGAAGTGTACTTTATTATCGTCCTCATTCTCAGAAGCATAAAATAAGGATCTGAGAGGCTAAGTGACTTCCCTAAGACACACAGCCAATTTAGAGTCAGGATTGGAACCCAGAGATTCTAACTTCAAATCCTACATTCTTGTCGTTATGTCATTCAAAACCACAGCAGTTTAACATTTTTATATCCTCTATAGCAGGTGTGAGGAAACCAGAGCCTCACGCTAAATCCAGCCCACCACCTTTTTTAATCAATAAACTTTTACTGGAACAAAAGCACACACATTCATTTAGTTATCATCTAGGCTGCTTTCATGCGACAATCCCAGAGGACCGTATTTGCAACAGAGGCATACGACTTGCAAAGCATAAAATATTTACTATCTGACCCTTTGCAGAACAAGTTCACCAACCCTTGCTCCATAGCGATGTTTCTCAGTGCTGACTGCAAATGAGATTCCGCTGGACAGTTACTTTTTCTCTGGGGCTGGGATTAAAGCATCAGTATTTTTTTAAAAACTCCCCAGATTATTTGAATATGCAGCGAAGGTCAAAAACTACTGTTTCATGGTATTGAATAGATTCAGGAAGTATTAGTTTTCAGGAAATGTGCTTGAGGGTAAGAGGAGAGAAAAATCACCACCATCGAACTCCTAAAATCTGAAGAGACACTCCCTACGACTTTTGTCCTGCCCCTTAATACAGTAGTTGTCCCCACTTATCCATGGGATATTGAGACACCCCAAGACCCCCAGTGGATGCCTGGAACTGTGGACAGTACCAAACCCTATATAGACTATGTTTTGTTTTAATACATAAATAACTATGACAAAGTTTAATTTATAATTAGGCACCATAAGAGATTAACAAAAATAATAAAATAGAACAATTACAACAATATACTGTAATAAAAGATTGTGAATGTGGTCTCTCTCTCAAAATATCTTATTGTACTCCACGTACGACATGGATATAATAATGGGCAAGCGGATGAGTCACATCCCAAGCAGGACAACACCAGATTTCATCATGCTGCTCAGATCCGTGCACAACCTATGAATTGTTTATTAAACGGGAAATTCCAGAAACATTTTCAGACT